ACTCGAAATTCAAGACTGTCTTTCCTCCTCTCTTCAGTTCCTCTTCCAGTGATATGAAGTTAAAACCAGGTATGGGATCACTTATCTGATTTTTGGTTCTTACGCTATTTCGTGTGGATAACTGTTTAGTTTGGGGTTCCTCCATGAGGACAATCAGTGGAAGCTTCTATTTGGTAGCTTGCTCCACGGTGCTTCATTGACACAGTATGACATTTACATAGGATGACTCTGGTGGTATTGTATAGAAAAACTCAAGTAGGGTGACGGTGTAAGGCAGTTCTGCTGAACACACTTTTACTAAAACCCCACTAAACGCCAAACTCTGTTCCAGGCCTGGGGACTTAAAAACAAACAAGAACCAGTCTCTTCCTCAAGGACTTGCAATCTACTAGGGGTAAGTAGGAAAATAAACCAATTAGGATGCTTTTTGTTCATCCCATTTTTGAAGCAGTGAGGGTTAGACAAGGACCTCAGCAGTGGGGATGGACAAGAGTTCTGAAAGAAGGAGTGGATGATATCTCTGAGTATAATCACAAGCTCCTTATTTATTGGCATTTGCAACTACCTGCTTTCTCCCCAGTCTGTCTTTACTTTTTTCCAATTAATCCTCCTTGTTCTTATTTTCTATCCTCTTCTCTGTAGCTGGAGGCCCTTAATAAATACCTGCAAATCAAATAACATATTATTTAAATGCCATGTCTTTTCCTGATGCCCTGGGTGTTCTTTGCTAAGTGGGCTTGATGTTCTTTCCACTGAACTGTTTCCATCTCTGAACAATCAACCTATATATGTATATATCACATATAGAATTAATTGAAGTTTACATAATCGGAGTCTAGTGTATTTTCATGAAATATCTTCGTTGAAATGAAAAAAAAATAGGAAAACAGTACAAAATAGCCTGCTAAACAGGCACATAGATAAAAGGTATACGGACTTGCTTATAATGCATATTAATTTAGTTGACATTCTATTAATTTCTATTCTATTCATAGTCTATTAATTTAATTGAATAAAGATTTAACTAAATGGATTATTATCTGCAGCTATTTGGCCATTGGGATAAGTTGAATAAGACAATTCCAGGCCTGAGAACTTTTGGCACTTATAGGCAGGTGATGAAAAGTTTACTTAACCAGATGATGTTTCATTATCTACACTGCTTACTTTGGTTCTTCCTGTTTGCACTATTTTCCTGCTTTGACCATTCCTTTGTACTGTATTCTATTCATAGAACCTGAGTAAACCTCTTCATGGTAAGTCATATCACCTCACTCTTTCCCTTTCAACTCAATAAAAATTCTAAGTTCTTAATCTTGGCCCATGAAGTCTCATATAATCTTACTTTCATGCCATCTGTAATTATTTCCTTCACTCACACTTGGCTTCTTTACTGTTCCTTTTTTTTTTTTTTTTAGACAAGGTCTCACTCTGTTGTCCAGACTGGAATATAGTAGTGTGATTGTTCCTAGAATATTCTAAACACACTTCCACCTCAGACCCTTTCCCTTGTTCCCTATGCCTGGATTCCTCCCCACAACTCCAGACATCTGCATGACCTGCTCTGTAACTTTCTGCAGATTTCTGCTCAAATATTGCCTTATCACCGAGTCTTTCTCTGACTACCTGGCATTCCCTAACCCTACTTTCTGTGATTTTTAAAATAGAATCATTTATTCAATAAAATGCATTTATTACTCCTGGAGTCTACATTGTCTGCTTCACCCAACAATGTTAGAAGTTCCTCAGAAGAGGGTCTGGTTAGTTTGCTCCTTTATTCCCAGCACTTAGAATGTTGGTTGCCATATGGTCAGCACTCAACAAATACTTCTTGAATGAATTGGATGGATTATCGGGAGTTATGCATCGAATTTCAGAGAAGCAAAGAGGAGGGTACATGGCCTATCTTGGGAAGTGTGGGAGGGATCAGAGAAGGCTTTCTTTCACAAGTTATATCTGGGCTGGGTCTTCATTCATTCATTTTTTTTCACATAAGCATTCATTCAACAAATTCTCATAGCACTTTCCAAAGTGCCAGGGACTATAGAACCAGGAATGCAGCTGTTTTGAAATTCCATAAAAACAGACAAGCCTCTGTTTTTATGGAACTTATAATCTACTGGGAGAAAGACAATAAGCAGGCTAATACATAAACAAACAAGAAAAAGTATCTGATACTGGCACATGCTATGCAAAGAACTAAAACAGTATGATGCAAAAGAGAGGTGGTTACTTTAGACTGGGTCACTAGAAGAGCATCTCTAGAGGAAAAGAGGCATTCTGGTTTTCGGAATTTTCAGCCATAAAGAAACATGCACATGTATGTTTACTGCAGCACTATTCACAATAGAAAAGACTTGGAACCAACCCAAATGCCCATCAATGATAGACTGGATAAAGAAAATGTGCCACATAAACACCATAGAATACTATGCAGCCATAAAAAAGGATGAGTTCATGTCCTTTGCAGCGACATGGATGAAGCTGGAAACCATCATTCTCAGCAAACTATCGCAAGGACAGAAGACCAAACACTGCATGTTCTCACTCATAAGTGGGAGTTGAACAATGAGAACACATGGACACAGGGATGGGAACATCACATACTGGGGCCTGATTGAGGGTGGGGGACTAGGGGAGTATAGCATTAGGAGAAATACCTAATGTAGATGACGGGTTGATGGGTGCAGCAAATCACCATGGTACATGTATACCTACGTAACAAACCTGCATGTTCGGCACATGTATTCCAGAACTTAAAGTATAATAATAATTAAAAAAGAAAAGCATCTCTAGGAGTGACATTTTGGTGGAGACCCAAGGGACAATAAGAAAGCTGCTGTGTGAAGATAAACGGAGTGAGTATTCCCGCAAGAAAGAACAGCCAGAGTAAAACTCTCAACTATGAACGGGCTTAAGGTGTTCAGGGATCCAAAAGAGTCCCACAGGGCTGTGGGTCAGTGAGAAAGGGGGCACAACATGGGCTCAGATAGGAACAGTCAGAAGAATGAGTAGAATCCAGGAGGTGAAGCAGGGGAAGAACCAGACTGAAAAGCATTGTAGTTGAAGAGAATGGCATGAGCAAAAGCAAGCAAGCATGAAGTAGATTGATATGTTTGAGTAAATCTAGGAAACCATATGTTCTGGGTTCAGTGCACAATCAAAGATGGAATTGGGGATACTGTGGGGGTACACTGGCTGTTCATGAAGCTTCTGGCATCATATTTTTTGTTGCAGTAGAGAGAAGAGAACTGTCTCTCTAAAAAGTATATCCTCAGGGAGTGATATAATTAACCCACTATAAAAGACTATACTTAAAAGGTATATTCTTAGAAGACTCAGATATTATGTATGTGAACTCCTGCTAAGCCTAGAGCTTGGAAGCAAATGTAACCTTGCATATTTTATTTTATTCTAAACACAACCTCAGACATGTAAGCTGTTGCCATTCCTATTTTAGACACTGAACTGAAGGATGGGCAGGTTCAGTCACTCCCAGTACCTGCAGAGAGCTGGGGCTCAATTCTACGTCTCCCCTGACCACTGCGGTCTACTCTGCAGTCTAACATCTCCTCAGCTGATTCAGTGCACCTGCCTAGAGTAATCCTGTCAATTTATTCTATGGGCCTCGCCTAGTACAGTTTTCCTTTGCCTGTATCTATCTTCTGTGCCTACCTCTAGTTCAGAAAGTATACTTTTTTTCTCTTTCTCCTTCAGCTAATCCTAGTCAATACCATGGTTTATAGAAGCTGTTCTATAGCTCGCTGACTTCCTCTGTTGACAAAAATGATGCAAAGACAAACTTAAAAATGGGATTATATGCTTGGACACACTTCTTCCTCTATGGTAACTGAGTCCCCAAGGAGTGTCTAAGTTTTGGGATTCTTGACAGATTGGAAGTTCTATAACAATTGGGACCCTGTTATCAGTAAAACCAGATTCCTCAGAGAAGGTAGTGCTGAATTCATGACAAAGGAATTTAATTTAGGTTCACAATTTATCAAGTAAATGGTGACTTATGAGTGACAATTCAATGTGCGTGTCATCATGGCCTGGTGGTGACTGACATTACGCATTGAGATTGAAGCCATTTCGAGACTGTTACTTTATGCATCATATTAGAAGGCATCAGGAGTATACCAAGATAAAACATTTATCTGGGAGGAAACAGACAAACAGTGAAATGTTCTTCCACTAACTATGGTGCATTTTGCACTTCTGCACCACAAACCTCTATTACATATTCATCACTTGACAATGTGACTGTGTAGTTTAGATAGCACTGGAGAGTTAGGATTTCCATCATAAATTAGGCTGAAAAATTCTGACTAAATAATGTTATCTGTTGCAGGAGCCATTTTTTTCCAACATTTGGATGCTCAAGATACATCCAATGTTGTCAAGCACTTTACCTTCAGATGGCAAAATCAGAGGTATATTAAAATATCAGGATGTTCATGAACATTAGCAATGACGTGTGCCATTACTGTCTCTTGAAAGCTGATATAATTTTTTGGGGGGAGTAAATGGTGTAGCTCTGAAATGATTAGGAAAAAGGATGTTCTACAATGTGAACAAAAAGTTAAAGGCAAGATAGAAGGCAAGGCCAGGCCAGGCTGATGAAAGGAAATAAGTTTGAAAAAAGTTGGTCCCCATTTTTAAGTGCAAAATATTTCTAGAAACCATAGCTTAAACTCAGGTGCTCAGCAACCTTCATCTCTTTGATAATAGTGAAGACTGTCAAAAAAGCAAATAAATATGGTTGAAAGAAAAAGATGAACCCATACCAGGAAAGGTCCAAGAAGCACAGCATAAAAGAACTAAACATCAAAAATGACTAAATACTTTCCATTTGTCAGTGTTTCTTTTTACCCATGCTTGAAGAAATAATTTTTTTCAGGGCCTAAAACTTGTCTTTTACAACACTCAAGTTGTGACAAGAAACAAACACTAGTTATTTAACTGGACATAATTGTGAATGAAATTAACACGAGAATTACCTGAAATTCCAATCCATAGTTTTCTCTGCAGAATTCTCTCAGTTTAGGATATACATTTTCTCTTAGTGCCTGTCTTTCTGCTCCCGTATCTGTAGTAGAAAGACAAACACACAGCAAGTGAGTATGTCCACATATGTTTCTGGCAAAAAAATGAAAACCTAAAAATAAATGCTAACAGTAATATAATCAAGTTGAGGTGCTGGGTTGTGAAATAACAGGGTATTTGTCTCTTGGTATAGACCTGCCCCCTAATTCCACAGAGATCCATCCATCAGGCATGCACGAGCAGTGGCAGGGCTGAAAATTCACAGTTGATTCTTTATGCCCACATAGACCTTCACGTTGAGCTCTTAAATAGTTATGACCACAATGTCTTTGGAAGGGGCAGAAGGAAACACAGTAGGGTTATCAGGGTTTTAGCTCCACAAAATATACAAGTTTTAAAACACACGCACACACATACACACGTTGACAAATTTACTTATTGATTTCTGAAAACATCCCAGATGATACCATTGCTACCTAGAGTATTCAAATATATTATGACAGTTTATAAAATTTAGCACAGTATGGAAACAAGCATGAAAACCTATCATAGCAGATCCCACCCACTGTAGATTCAATTGGCCAGTGGTTTAATAAAATAACGTCTCCCACCCTGGGCTTAGGGACTTACCATTATATCGGAGATAGAAACTATTTTGCACATATCATACTACGTAAACCTTCTGAAATAAAAAACTTTTTATTATCTCCTATCATTAATACAAGAAGAAACACAGAACCTGAAACTCGAAGAATCACAAAACATGTATGCATTTAATGTCGAATGTTTTGCACAGCAAGGAATTCCAGAGTCATCTGTGCTGAACAATTCTGCATCAATAATGGCACTGTAAGATTCTAAGAGCAAAGAGGCTATTCCTTGCCCAGCTACCTTCAGTGAAACATGAATATAGTTTTCAAAAATTAGGTTAATGTGTAATCTTATGAAAAGTACCATTTGCTAAAAGTACCTCTATCCCAGTCATAACTATGAAACATCCGCATACCACATTTATAACAAAGATAACAGTTTAAAAGAATTTCCCTGTTATTCTCAGACACATGTGTCCATGAAAATTTAACCATACGCCGTGTTGACCTACTCTATTTTCCTACTGTTCTCAAGCCTATTTTGAGAAGCAAATAACCAATCATGAAGGTCTGAAATGCAGCTGCAGCCTGGCAGAGTGACAGGAACCAGTGTTTACACAGAAATCAAAGATTCAGAGAAATACAAGGTCTTCGGGATTGCCCTGTGATCTAAACAAATAGGGTGTTTTCCAGCCTTAGATTCAATATGGTTCTAAGTTCAAAGAGAAGAAGCAGGACACCCATCGGAGGAGCTGTACATTAAAGCGGGGCCCATGCAGTGCTATGGCACTGACGGAGGCAGTTATATTAAGCTTTCACATAATTTGTATAATCTTGAGATCAGAATGCCCATCCTCCCTCGCTCCATTTTAAGAGCTGAAAATGCTAACTTCACAATAAAGCTGATAATATTCAATAAATCTAAAAGCCCTTAGCAGATTTTCAAAACCGAAATAATGAACAAGCCACTTTAAAAAGAGACAACTATTGCCAGATATAGAAGGTAAAAATATATTCAAAAGGGTTAAGAGATTCTGAAAAATAGTATCTAAATTATACATAAAATAATTATGTAATGATATAAGAAACAGAAATTTATTGTTTCTTAAAAACATGTTAACTCATTTTGAGGTGCTGAGACTTGACTGCACAACTGTAAGGAGGATAGGAGAAATTTAGTACCTAATTTTTTAAAAAATTTCAACTCTTATTTTAGACACAGGAGGCACATGTGCAGGTCTGTTACCTGGGTATACTGCATCCAGGCAGTGAGGACAGTACCTGATGGTTTTTCAACTCACACCCCGCTCCCTTCCTCCCGCCACTAGCTGTCCACAATGTCTATTGTTCTCATGTTTATGCCTATGTGTGTTCAATGTTTAGCTCCCATTTTCAAGTGAGAACAAGCAGTATTTGGTTGTCTGTTCCTGCATTAATTAGTTTAGGAGTATGGCCTCTAGCTGCATCCATGTTGCTGCAAAGGACATTGCATTTTCTTTTTTTTTTGGCTGTGTAGTTTTCCATGGTGTATATGTGCCACATTTTCTTTATTTAATTCACCACTGACGGGCACCTAGGTTGATTCCATGTCTTTGCTATTGTGAACAGTGCGGCAATGAGCATACAAGTGCATGTGTCTTTTTGGTATAATAATCTATTTCTCTTTGGGTACACATCTAGTAATGGGATTTCTGGGTCAAATGGTAGCTCTATTTTAAAGTCTTAGAGACATCTCTGAACTTTTCCACAGTGGCTGAGTTAATTTATAATTCCGCCAATAGTGTATAAGCATTCTCTACTCTCTGCGGCCTTGCCAGCGCCTGTTGTTTTTGAACTTTTTAGTAATAGCCATTCTGACTGGTGTCAGATTGTATCTCATGGTGGTTTTGGTTCGCATTTCTCTCACGATTAGTGGTGATGAGCATTTTTTCATGCTTTTTGACCACTCGCATGTCTTCTTTTAAGAAGTGTTGCCTGTAATCCCAGCACTTTGGGAGGCCGTGACAGGAGGATCACAAGGTCAGGAGATCGAGACCATCCTGGCTAACAAGGTGAAACCCCGTCTCTACTAAAAAATACAAAAAACTAGCCAGGCGAGGTGGCGGGAGCCTGTAGTCCCAGCTACTCGGGAGGCTGAGGCAGGAGAACGGCGTGAACTCGGGGGGCGGAGCTTGCAGTGAGCTGAGATCCAGCTACTGCACTCCAGCCTGGGCTACAGAGCAAGACTCCGTCTCAAAAAACAAACAAACAAACAAACAGTGTCTGCTCATGTCTTTGTCTATTTGTAATGGGGTTATTTGGTTTTTGCTTGATTTAAGTTTCTTACAGATTCTGGATATTCGATCCTTGTTGGATGCATAGTTTGTGAATATTTTCTTCCATTCTGTAGGTTGTCTGTTTACTCTGTTAATAGATTCTTTTGCTATAGCACCTACTTTCTAACATTTAGTGAGTGCTTCCTGCGGTCCAGTAGTGTGCTAAGTACACTTCTATTTGCATTTCCTTAGTCACTGCTGACCACGACCCTATGAAACAGGTAAAACATTATTAACATGTTTTTTAAGCAAGGAAACTAAAGGGCAGAGGGGTTAGAAAACTCGCTCAAGAGCATACGGCCACTAAATTAGAAAACCCAGATTTGAACCCAGAAAGTCATACACCATAGTTTGCTCTAATCAAGGAAATATACAACTGTGAAAAGAATCAGTCTTTACAATGACCGATGGAATAAATGCATGAAATGACTAAGTGATGTTAAAGTCCTAAAGCTTATGAAATAAAAAAAAAATTGTATTATCCTTGATGGATTCTTTTCTTTCTATAATACACCCTCCAAGAGCCAACACATCAATAAGTTCTCTCACTCTACCACTAAACAAATCCTACTTCTGTCCCTTCTGCTACCAGATGCAAGCCATACTCACCTTTCATTCAGATTCCATCTCCCTGTTTTCCTACTTGCCCTGTTTGGTTCATTTTCCATGGAGCAACCAGACTGATTTTTCCAAAATGTCAATCAGATCACATCACTACTTTGTTTAAAAGCCCCATCAGCTCTTTACAGACCTTTGAATGAAATGTACACTCCTTATGATGAATGTTCTCTCTCTCCTCAGGCTCATCTCTTACCACTTTTCCTGTTTATGTCCCTCCAGCAGCACTGGCTTCCACTTGATTCTTGGATTATATTCCCACTCGCAGACCTTCACTTTAGCTATGGTGTCGTCCTGGAATGCTTAGTCCTGTGATCATCTCATGGCACCTCTTGTCATTCAACTGGCAGCTTTAATGCCACCTCCTCAGAGAGGCCTTCTCTGAGCACTCCATCTATAGAAGTCACTGAATCACCTTCTACTTCCTTAATTCTTTGTGGATTACTCATTGTTTATTTGTTTACTATGTGCCTCCCTCACTAAAATTTAAGCCAAAGGGAGCTGAAACCTTCTTTTGTCTCACTCACGGCTACATCTCTAATGATTGCAGTCTTGCTCAATTAATAAATGAGTGAATGAAAAAAGCCACACATGCACCAGTGACAAAAATGAACTGATAGGCATGGTTTCCCTGCAATTGCCTCCAGAAACAGAAAGGCCTCCTACATTATAATTCATCATTCGACGGGTTTAATAAAAGCAGGATTCTGAAATCTTGGGAAATGGTGGTATTTAGATAATTGGTGTCACGAGGTAAATGAATGAACTGAAATTTTTTTTCTCTGGTTTCTGTGTTTGTGGCAGAATAGGAACTCCGTTATTTTGAGCCTTTCTAAATATGTGAAGGAAGCATATACACATATCCAATGGGCATTCTGTGCTCTTATTTATATTAAAAATTGACTTAGATTTTTCCGTATTTGTATGAATATATGATTGGCTCTGAAAATGAAAAAGTAATTAAGATAGGAATGGATTAATTATGATGAGTGAACAGATAAGCTGGCTTAATTAAATAAAAAACTGGATTCATACCGACAGCAAATCCGGATGGTTCACAATTAAAAAAATTAGAATGTCGTGGACAGGAAATATTAGCTCACAGAATCTCACACTTACAAAGGGCCCTCTTTAAACAGTGTAAATCAAATATGAGGTATGTCTTAATTTATGTTTTATACATAGTCATCGCATCTCTTTGTATCTGCCCAGTTCCTTAATGCTTTGAAAAGGTGCATTAACACTTTAGCAGCACTATCTGTTAGGTATTTAAAGGAGCTGCTTTCTGAATGATTCCTTTGTGATTTCAGAGTTAATGAAGGTCTCTGTACAGTGTCTGAGTCACCTACAAGAAGTACATTAGCTGGGGGAGAATTAATAATCAATACCATTATCCTTATAATATCTTGAGTTCACTTCAACAAGGGTTTAGATTAATTCCAATTTTTTTTATTTCTGCAATTTTTTTTATTTTATAAAATAATTTATTTTAATTTTTATTTTATTTATACAGTTCTATC